CGCCGCTACATTCGCCGACTACTTCCTGTTCTTTTGATATACCGTGGCAGCACCGCACCTCGCCTTCAATTGATAGCCACTTCCCTGCCTCTATATTGTCTCTTAGTTCTTACTCCCCGAAACATATACTACCTTATCCTCATCGCTGCCTGCAACCGCAGCGAATCCCCCGTCGAAGCTTCGGTCTGTGGTCAAGCGATATAGCTCCGAGGAACATCAACCATTCCAGCGCTATTTCCACTCGCTCCATCACTTCGCTCGCAGCTCTATCTCTCAGACACCGTGGCCATCAGAGTCATACGTTACAGATGGATATGAATAGTGACGCAGGCGCCAAGCGCAAGCGCAGCTCGATCGCCGCGCCCGCCGAGCGGCCCGCAAAGCATCTCCGTCCCGAAACCAGCACATTAACGCCTGGCGACTCCACTCCCGCGAATGGAACTGTTTATGACGTGGAGGAAGAGGAGGATGCTGGTCGGTTGTTGTCCCTGGGAGCTGCACAGGCCGATTCGCCTGAGTGGCAGGCCACCATTGAGGAGGTCGTGAAAAGCGTTGTGTCGATCCACTTCTGTCAGACGTGCTCCTTTGACACGGAACTGTCGATGAGCAGTCAGGCGACCGGTTTTGTGGTCGACGCAGAGCGGGGTTATATCTTGACAAATCGACACGTCGTGTGTCCAGGGCCCTTCTGGGGATACTGTATTTTCGACAACCATGAAGAAGTGAGTTGGCTTAGCCCTATCAACACAGGACGCAGATTCTTCGCCTCCATTTTCTCTATGCAGTCCTAACCATACCAGTGTGATGTTCGTCCGATCTACCGAGATCCTGTGCACGACTTCGGAATCTTACAGTTCGACCCGAAAGCGATTCGATATATGAACTTGAAGGAGTTGAAACTACAACCGGATGCGGCCAAGGTCGGATCGGAGATTCGCGTCGTGGGTAACGATGCAGGAGAAAAGCTTAGTATTTTGTCTGGTGTCATCAGTCGTTTGGATCGAAATGCTCCGGAATACGGCGAGGGATACAGTGATTTCAATACCAATTACATTCAGGCCGCTGCGGCAGCGAGTGGTGGCAGTTCCGGCAGTCCTGTCGTGAACATCGATGGCCATGCAATTGCTTTGCAGGCTGGTGGTCGCGCAGATGGCGCAGCTACGGATTACTTCCTCCCGTTGGACCGGCCGTTGCGTGCGCTGGAATGCATCCGTCGCGGTCAGCCGGTCACGCGAGGAACCATTCAGACACAATGGATTCTCAAGCCGTTCGACGAGTGTCGTCGGTTGGGCCTGACGCCCGAGTGGGAGGCCACCGTGCGCAAGGCAGCTCCCACGGAGACCAGCATGCTGGTGGCAGAGATCATCCTGCCGGAGGGCCCGGCAGATGAAAAGCTCGAGGAGGGAGACGTGCTTCTGAAGGTCAACGGGGAGCTGCTCACTCAGTTCATTCGGCTGGACGACATCCTGGACTCGAGCGTCGGGCAGACGGTGCGTCTGCTCGTGCAAAGAGGCGGTCAAGATGTGGAGGTGGAGTGCCAGGTTGGCGACCTGCATGCCATCACGCCCGACCGCTTCGTGACAGTAGCGGGAGGCACGTTCCATAACCTGTCTTACCAGCAGGCACGTCTGTATGCCATCGCTACCCGCGGCGTCTATGTCTGCGAGGCTGCCGGGTCTTTCAAGCTGGAGAACACCTTGTCGGGATGGCTGATTGACTCCGTGGATAAGCGACCAACGCGAACACTAGATGAGTTTGTGGAGGTGATGAAGACGATCCCTGATCGCTCGCGGGTGGTCATCTCGTATCGCCACATCCGCGATCTCCACACGCGCGGTACCAGCATCGTCTATATCGACCGACACTGGCACCCGAAGATGCGGTTGGCGGTGCGGAATGATACCACCGGGCTCTGGGACTTCTCTGATCTCGCGGACCCCGTCCCCGCCCTGCCTCCTGTGCCGAGGAAAGCCGATTTTATCCAGCTTGATGGGGTGAGTCAACCTGCTGCTGCAGCCATTGTGCGCAGCTTCGTGCGCGTGTCGTGCACGATGCCTCTCAAGCTAGACGGCTACCCTCAAGCCAAGAAGACGGGATTCGGTCTGGTCGTTGACGCTGAGAAGGGACTGGTCGTGGTTTCGCGTGCCATTGTGCCGTACGACCTCTGCGACATCAACGTCACCGTGGCCGACTCGATCATTGTCACCGCCAAGGTGGTGTTCTTGCATCCTCTCCAGAATTACAGCATCATTCAGTACGACCCCAGCTTGGTCCAGGCTCCGGTTCAGAGCGCCAAGCTCAGCACTGAGTACATCAAGCAGGGTCAGGACACCATCTTCGTCGGCTTCAACCAGAACTTCCGCATCGTGGTGGCCAAGACCGCTGTCACCGATATCACCACCGTATCGATTCCGGCCAATGCCTCGGCCCCGCGCTACCGCGCGATCAACCTGGACGCCATCACGGTAGACACTGGTCTGAGCGGACAGTGCTCCAATGGTGTACTGGTCGGCGAGGATGGCACGGTGCACGCACTCTGGCTGAACTACCTCGGTGAACGCACAGGGAACTCGCACAAGGACGTCGAGTACCATCTGGGCTTCGCGACGCCGTCTCTTCTGCCTGTCCTGTCCAAGGTGCAGCAAGGCGAGATGCCCACGCTGCGGATCCTGAACATGGAGAGCTACGTGGTGCAGATGAGCCAGGCCCGCATCATGGGCGTGTCCGAGGAGTGGATCGAGAAAGTGACACGGGCGAACCCCGCCCGGCATCAACTGTTCATGGTCCGCAAGGTCGACTGTCCGCCTCCGGGCTTTGCCTCCGAGGCTGTAGACAGCTTTGAGGAAGGCGATGTCATCCTCACCCTGGGCGGGCAGCTGATCACCCGTGTTTCGGAGCTTGACATCATGTACGAGAAGGAATCTCTAGAGGCGCTCATCGTGCGCAACGGCCAGGAGATGCGCATTCAGGTCCCCACGGTGCCGACGGAGGATCTGGAAACCGACCGCGCCGTGGTCTTCTGCGGCGCTGTCCTCCAGAAGCCCCATCACGCCGTCCGCCAGCAGATCTCCAAACTCCACAGCGAGGTGTACGTCAGCGCTAGGGTACGTTGTTCCTCCTCCTTTCACTGTCAAATATTAACCCATCACTAACAATACACCTTTAAAATAGAGCCGCGGTTCCCCCTCCTACCAATACGGCCTCTCGCCCACGAACTTCATCACTGCCGTCAACGGCACCCCCACCCCGAACCTCGACCGCTTCGTCGAAGAGGTCCGCAAGATTCCCGACAACACATACTTCCGTCTCCGGGCGGTGACCTTCGACAACGTCCCCTGGGTGGTGACCATGAAGAAGAACGATCACTACGTATGTTACGACCTTTCTGCCAGCTTCCTTAGGCCGGGTTATCAGTTACCTCCCCCATCTAACACATTCCTCTAGTTCCCCATGTCCGAATACCTCAAAGATCCATCCGCCCCGCAAGGCTGGCGCACCGTGTCCCACGATAAGGACAAGCACCGCGACGGCGCTGCGCCGGATGCGGCGAATTTGAACCCCGATGCCATGGACGAGGGCTTTGATGGCATCAGTGATGTCGAGCCGGAGGCCGAGTAAGGGGGCCAGTCGAGTCTCTTGTTCTCCGGTCACTGTGGGAGTTTGTCTGGGGAGTGTTGATATATCCACGTGATTGGACTTCATTCTGTATGTACAATATAGACTTACAGCGTTATATGAGTGGATAGATCTGTATCTTGTTTGTATTGGTGAAGGCAGGTAGTTATGCTCGTATGTGCTTGAAGCATGTAGACTTCCGACCTCGTGCTTTGGGTGTGGGTCGGAATGACGGTGGTTGAGGATAAATCATCCTCCGTCTATACAGTCACTGTTAGGCATCATATTGAGATGGGCACCTAACAGGCAATATTAACCTAGCCCTCCATTGATGCAACTCTCGCCCATAGTTTCCCGAAATGTAGGTACTCTATATATCCGCAACCTGAACTCCAAGAATGACCCTCACCAGCCCAAGCCCAACCAACCCACATTCCAGCACATAACAAGAATCGCCCAGCTGCAAGGACATGCTTACATAAAACACCAAGAAACCGAGTTCCTCAATCCCCTATCCGTAGCCTACTGACATACGATACCCCAGAAAATGACGCGCAATCGACCAACAGATCCCGCGTAGCGGTTAACATATACAAGGCTAAGATAAATGGCAGATTATATCAGCTAGCATCATTGGTCTAGTGGTAGAATTCATCGTTGCCATCGATGAGGCCCGTGTTCGATTCACGGATGATGCACATTTTCTTTTGTTTCTTTTTTCCGTGTGGGTGTTGGCGGAGCCTCTTGCTGCTTGCTGAGGGATCATCCTAGCACTCCGTTCATCAATCTTGTCTGCTGCTTACGCGGTACCTCTTTTGATGCATGACCTCCTCGTTCATCAGCTTTTGGACAAGAATATGCTGACTGGGTACACCGCCCTCGATCAACGTGATGCGCTGTCACCTACAGAACAGCAGCTCGGGGGACGGATTCTCCGCGACGCCGGTCTGTTTTTGTATGGAGATTCTGGTCGCATGGATTGTTGAGCTCACTTGTCTCTGCTTCCTACATAGGCATCCTTCGTAACAGATGCTGTACTACGGTTACGAGGATGACTGCTGTCCTACACGAGTCTGAATTCCCAGAAGATAAGAAATTGCCATACGAAGCGTAAAATATAAGTATGAACCCAAACAGAAGATATACTCCACAGTCGGCCTGCGAGCAAGAGAAAATGAAACGAGAAAGGAGAAAGAAAAGTACAAGGGAAAAACGTCTCCGTCAACCACCTCGGTTAATGAAGGCTCGTTTTGCCATCGTACACACACCACCATCACTGCATACATACTACCCAGCCTGAGTCGGCCGTGCATGCCATCACAGTCGACTCCTCAATACCCTTTAGTCATAACTAACTACCACAACCCTTGGAGGCAGCTAACGATCCGCACCCACGATCATCCCTTCAAGCCAGAAGAGGCTCCTTCTCCTCAGCCTCGACAGCAGGCTGCTCACTGGATTCCAACAAGGGAGCGACAGGAGCAGCGGGGGCCACGGGCTCAGCCTTCGGGGCTTCAGGGAAGTCGAGGACCTTGGTCTCGGGGTCGGTCTCGGGTTCCTTCTTGATGACGGGGCTGCTGGCGACCTTGGCCACCTCGGGGGTCACGGAGCGCGAAGCAGAGCGGCGGTGCACGAAGCCCTGGGCCTTCGCGCTGTAGTCCTCGACGTACTGCTTGACGATGCCCGTCGCGTGGGCGGTACGCTCCTCGGCGATGTCCTTCAGCTGGTGGGCCTGGCTGTTGACCAGCTCCTGGAGGTGCGCGATCTGGGCATCGATGACCTCACGGTTGTTGATGTAGACCAAAGGACCCAAGTAAGCAATGGTAACGGTGATGAGGGAGAGACCCCAGAAGGGAAGGAACTTGATCAACCAGTAGGCGGAGAAAGCGGCGAGGAAAGCCTAGTGGCCGGTTAGCGATGTGCCATGTGTCACAGGTGTAGCATTGACATACAGCAATGGTGTGAACAAGGTTCTCGGCGAACAGAACGCGCTGGAACTCGATCAAGACGAAATCGACGAGCTGCTCCAGATCCTCCAGCACGGCTTCAACCGTCTCCTTGGGAACAGTGTAGTATTTACGAGGGCGGAAAGATCCGACGACGCTCTGCTTCAAAGCGAGTTGACCACCCAGCTCGGCGAGAGCGGTGACTGTTCAATGCATTAGCCCCCCGTCTAACTATTTGTTGTGCAGGTTCCACTCACAGCCCAGAACCACGTAGATAAATTTGAAGAACCATCGGAGGAGCGGAAGGTAACGGGCGGCAAAGATGAAAGCAACAACGCTGATGAAAGAGACGGCGGTGGCTCGGGGTTGTTCCCACTAGTATGGCATATCTGTTAGGGCTGGTCTGCGTGGGATGGATTCGCAGTCACTCACGCTCAGAAGGCTGTACAGCAGGGAGTGGTAGTCTTTGTGGAATTAGCGACGAGCGGCGTGGCACAAGCGTGAGTGGTACATACAAGTTAGGGGCTGGCCGGTGGCGGCGGTGGTGGAAGGAGTCACTGCTGCGTTGCGCAGCTCGCGCAGCTCTTGACTGGTGCGGGAGGCCTCGGATTTGATGTTGTCGGCAAGAGGCCCTATGAGACTGGCTGTTAGTTCGATTGCAATTGAGGTATGGCAACAAAGCCTTCCTCCTCCAGGGAAGAGGCCGGGATTAGAAATTGGCGCTTACCATTGGTAATAGTCCCTAGACGGAGGGTTCAGTAGTTAGCTTGTGTAACTCGATTTCGAACTCTCGGTGAGAAGCGAGTCGTGTGGGACTGAAGATCAGACGAAACATTAGCTTGAGAACGCTCTTTCCCCAATGTAACTGACCAGAAAACTTGAATACGTACCTTACCATGGCCGTTCACGTTGGGATAACTCACGTCAGCAGCCATGACGAAAGATGTGTGGTTCGGAAAGCTGGAAAGATAAGGAAAAGGGTGGATTGTCAGGGGAAAATAGAGGGAAGTTCGAGCTGAAGGTAGCTGCGGGGGTTGGAATGGACGGGCAGACGAGACTGCAGTTGAACACAGGGAGAAGGTGGATTAGAAGGATTAGAATAAGAAGAGCTCGAGTGGTCGCGGGGGATGGGGGAGAAGATGAAGAAAAAGGACGAGGCCAAAGAGAAAGAAGGTGATGCAATAATGGGGTCGAGGCGGCGGGCGGATTTGATTTGGTCGTGTGCCTTAGGTTTTACTGCCGATACGAACAGAACCAAACGAACATGTGATGGCCTAGGCCGGTGTTTCGGATTAACTTGCACGGCCAAACTAATTATATCTTTGATAAGTGTTAACTATAGCTCAGCTCATAGCTTTCGAGTTGACTGTTTGAAAGACAGTGGGTGCGCCTATGCAAGGGACTCAGTGCCAGTAGAAGATCCCTTGAGAGCTCATTCATCCAGCAGCCACCAACCCATCCAGCGAGCAGCAGTTCGTGCATTGAGATGCATGCACTGCAGGTCGAAGATCCAGACTTGTCCTTGGTATCTGCCAGCTAAACCTTCCCTTTAGAACCTTGAGGGAGGATTGACACTCTCGGCTCTTCACCGATTCAACCTCCACCATAATCATTATCCTCTCTACAATCCTCCTCAGTCACCTCATGGTACACAAACGCATTTTTCGGTGTGTTTGCTTCGGCCTGGCTGGGATGATGTCACTCGCCGGTCACACATCCATCAGTCAGCATCCACTCACAATTGCTTCCAATTGGGAACCATCCAGCGCTTTTGTAAATGTTTCCATTGGTGACCGACACGAAACCGGAATCCAGCACAATCTCGCAGCCTATACACGCTCGAGATGTTGTTGTAAGTGACGCAGCGGTTAGTGCTGAGCTGTGGAGGGGCCAGCATCCGATCATAAATTGCCAACCCATTTACTAGAGGCGTACTGCCTCGAAAAGCACATCATCCGCGCTCAATCTAGGTCTGGCCATAAATGATGTCACGAAAGTTTATCCTACAGTACTTAGTATGAGGAAGTTGTTATCCCATGTACGGAGCAGTTGGTCCTTTGAGAGGCAATCTAGGGAAGCTGTCGCGTGGCAATCCCACTTGCGACAAGGCATACAGTAAGCTTGTAGTGGAGAAGATTTTGTATTCCAGTAGTTAGCTACCATCGTCAGCACAAATTAGAATGATGTTGGTAAGCTATGCTAAGTTATACAGAGAGCTACTTTGTGGCCTATGCTCACAAGTATATGCCTGAAGAGCCAGGCACCCATGATCTAGAGGTCACGTGCCATAGCGGGACTCACGCGTTGGCCGATGTTTTGATGCTTCAAACTCCGGACGACAGGCCTGAAGCCCACCGGCCGACCATCGACCCTCCGCCGACACACCACGGTCCTATGCCCTATTTCTCGACTTCACTAACCTCTAGACTGGGCCCGCCTGCCCTCGACCTTTTACGATTAATTTTAATGTTCTCTTGACGACTCCGATCTCCAATCCGCGTTTGTTTACATCGCCATGGCTGCGACCGGCGCGAGGGCGCAGAAGCCCGTTGGCTCTGCAGCGTGGATCTCGTCCGAAAAGGAAAACTGCATGCAGCTCGTGGACCAGGAAATGGAAGAGGTCGAATATCCTGTGCGCCACGAGATGGATTGGTTGAACGAGCATATGGCCGAAATCTTCTCGACCAACCAATTGTCCGTTGCGCCCGCAAAGCCGTGATCCCATTCTCCGACGCTGACTCTCGCCTAGTAACTTCACCGATGCGTTCAAGACCCCAGGGAAACTGCGCGGCAAAACCCCGCGGACTGCGCGAAAGCGCGATGCGACCGAGCCTCGTATGGTACGTCGACCCGTTCTCTCCTCCATTGAAGCATCGGCGGATTCATTGCTTACTGTCTACAGCCCTTGAGCGAGATCTTCTCCTCTGCACACAACAGCAAAACAGAGAACAAACTCGAAAGTAAGCATGACAGCAAACACCCTGCAAGCCCGGCAGTACAACGCTCGCCCGCCAAGGCACCCGCTGCGCCCCCTGCAGCACCAACCCCAGTGGCGGAACCTAAAGACACCACCATAAATGACGCAGCTGAACCCACATATCCCGACTTGAGCAAGAATCTCAATTCCTTCCCGGAGTACAATACCGACTCCGGCTATCATGGCATGCCCGATGGAGAAGAAATGGAGGAAGATGAGGACGACGATGTTGTCTTGACACAAGTACAGCCCGAATCCCAGCCATCGACGCAACCGACGGATACAGAGCCCATTGTCGCCGAAGAAAATACTCAACTACCAGACGAGCGCCGCATGACAAGAAATTCCTTCCACTCCGCCCAAGAGAATGTACGCCACCGAGGCGAAACAGTTGAACCCGAGCAGGTCGAACCAACACCGAACCGAAACGCGCCTTCTCTGCCACAGCCTCAAACGGTGTCAAAGGAACAAGAGTCCGCTATCACGCCAGCACCCGAGCTTGAAGAGGAAACCGAAACGGAAACCGCGAAAGAGCCCGAAGATGAGCCCGAGCCTGAGACTGAAGTTCAGGCCGAAACCGAGGCTAAGCCTGAAATTCAGCGCGAGGTCCAGCGTGAGGAAAGCGAGGAACTTGACGAACGGCAGGAACGGGAGGAGCCCGAGGAGCAGGAAGTTGGGCTTGAACAGAAAACCGAGTCGCTACAAGCGCCAGAGCCCGAGAACAAGCCCGTGCAACAGGACGAGCAAGAGCAACACAAACACAGCGAGCGTGAGACAGTGCCAGAGCTCAGCCACCAGCTGGCGTCAGAACCTGAGGCAGAGGAAGAGCCTATCAAAGCCGTGGAGCCGAGATCACCTGCCAAGTCTCCCGCCGCACCTGCCGCCGAGCCTGTACGGGAAGGAAAGGATGATAAGGATGAAATGGCTCTCGATATTGACGATGTCGGCTCTCCCTCGGACGTTTCGCCTCCGGCACGCCACCCTATCCGCAAGAGTAGCCTTTCATTCGCATCACTTCCTGCACGCGAGCCATTGACCAAGAAGAGTCTGGGTGGTTCAAGACTGTCTCGCACAAGCCATCTGGAGATCTCTAAACTCAGCAACGCAGGGAGCTATCTTGGTAGGCAGACCGGAGGACACAGAACGACGCAGCCTGGCATGGAGGATGACACCACCCGTGACGACAAGATGAATATTGACGACAACAAGGATTTGACCGATGACGGAGAATCGGATGTTGATACGAAAGCCAGCAAGGACCATGTCAAATCCTCAACTCAAAGGCTGCATGAGAAGATCAGCATGCTGGGTAAACTACAGCCATCGCGACCAACTAAGTCCATTGCGGCAGTCTCGCGTTTATCGACCGCGCAGGTCACTTATCCCGAATTGCCCATTTCTAAGCCCGAGACGAGATCAGAGGCTCCCATCCAGAAGCCCCGTGATGCGCCAACTACGGAGCCTATGCAAATTGATGACGACTGGATCAAACCAATGAACTCGCCCTATCGGTCGAATACACAGACACACCAGCGAAACGAAAGCAAAGACGCCAAATTGTCGGGGGCTAGAATTCTGCGGGCTGCCGAGGACGATCGTTCTTCTGCTCTAGATAATGCGAGAGGTGCAATGGGATCAACAAAGACTACCGCAAAGCGCGCTTCGGACGTGGGTCGCGGAAAGTCGACAACACCTCTCTACTCCTCTCCACAACGTCCTGGTCATCAAAAGAGCGCGTCTGCTCATATTGACTCCCAATTGTCGACGACACCTGTCGGCTCTCCTGCGCCAGAACGGTGGGATGGGCCCTTGAGTGCGTCAAAGTCAAGACTCCAATCGATCGTGCAATCCGCGAAGGGCTTGTTCACGAATTCTGGAGGTGTAGCGGCTGTGGCTCGAAAAGAAGCGTCCTCACCAGAACAACCAAGGTTGCGACCGAGTGGTCGACCCATTAGCGAGTTGATGGATAAGTCGCATCGACCACAGTCTGCTCAGCTTCTCAGCCCCCCACGCCAGGAAGGGCGTAGAACCCGCAGCTCTACCGAGAGAGAAGAGAAGCGTAGGCAGATGGAGCTCGAGGAACGCGAACGACAAGAGGAACGTCAACGACAAGAGGAACGTCAACGACAAGAGGAACGTCAGCGACAAGAGGAACGTCAACAACACGAAGAACGCCAACGACAAGAGGAGCGCCAATTACAAGAGGAATTGGCTGAGAAAAACCGGCAACATGAGAAAAAGAGGTCGATGCAACTCCGGTCTGCACAGGAGAAGTATTCTGCAGACGAGTCTCGGGCAACTTCCGAAGCCTTTACTGCACCAACATCTCAGAGATTGCCCAAACTGCAAAAATCATCCAAGGAAACAGATTATGCTACGGAGGCTGAATCCAAACCCGCCGCCCCATCCTCTATCCCGCAGCAACAGCAAGCAAAGGGTCGTCCTGTCAAACCCAATCGCGAAACACTCCAGAAGCCCAGACCTCAGCCTGTCTCGATTCGTGTGGGCAGTGCCCTTTCTCGGCCCATAACGCTGGGATCTTCAACCATGTCTTCTGGCATGCGGGAGTCGAGTGTCGCCGCTCCTACACCGGGTTCCGCGGTGAAGCAACCTACGCTGAAGAAGAAGGCGAGCAACTCATCACTACACACTGCTTCGTCCAATAGCAGCTTCAAGAGTTCGATGTCTACCCAGTCGCAGCGCAAGGCTCAACTTGCAAGCGAGAGAAAGCGTGAACAGGAGGAACGCGAGGCCAGGCGTCGAGAGGAGCAGCGCCGTGAACTTGAACGCAAACGAGCGGCTCAGCAAGAAGAAGCTCGTCGCCAGGACATGCGCAGTCGCGCAGAGGCCGAACGCCGCGAGCGACTTGTTGCTGAAGATCCTAAGAAAGCTGCTCAACTGCAGGCAATTGAGAAGCGGAGACTTGAGAGCCAACGGAGGCTGGAGAGGCAAGGAAGCCAACAGCCCGAGACCCACCCTCCGGAGCGACCGGCCTCCCAGGCTGCTCAGCGGGGTGAGATGGGAACCATGAGACCAGCTTCTCGTCTCGGATCCATTCAGCCGTTCCACCGCTCCGTCAACCCGCCTCAACCTAACCCGGCCAAGCCTCCCAAGAGAGGCCTGGATGAGGAGACCAATCAGCGGCCTACGGCGTTGAAGACGGGCACGATGCAACTGGCAGGCGAGTCCAAGCGCAGAAGGACAGAAGACGAACAGAATCGCATGTCCTCGATGCGCCCTACGATGGCTCCGCCAATCCGCCAGTCCAACATCCGCAAGGTATTTCAGGGTTTTTCGATGCTACATGTTTTCATTACTAACCTCTTTGTAGGAGCCCAAGAAGCCGTCGTTCTACAGCCAGCCACCAACCTCAATCCTGAAGACCGGACAAACGCAAAGACCTGCTCACCCTATGGACATGTCAAAATATGCCAGTGGCAAAATCCCATTCGCAGAGCCGCCGATGGCACCGCCCGCTGCGCATCGGACGCCCGCTGCCAGCTCATCGCAAAAGCACCAGGTCAAGGAGTCGCCCAGCTACCCCAACGGCGAGAACATCAACCTGCCAGAGATTGCCACGGACAGCGAAGACGAGGACTCAGAGGCCGAGATGCTCCCTGTACCCAAGTGGGCCCAGCCGAAAGAGCTGGAGTCGCTGCTGCGACAACAGGAAGGCATGGAGGCGGACTCTATCTTTGGCCCTATTGCACCATTCTCCCTGGAGGAGACTTTCAAGGGGGACAAGAAGATCAAGAAATTCCGCGAGCGCACCAGCAGTGCCCATTGGTCTGGACCCGACGGACTCACGCAAGATGAGATCCGCCGCGATTTGGCCGAGCGTCAACGCTTGCGTCTCAATGGTGGCTGGACCTTTAATTAAATCTGCTGTGACCCGGTTTCACGCTTGTGTGGTCCTTTTTATTTGGGAGTGACAACGGGGGGCTTTGGGCTTTTTTTTTTTTTTTTTTTTTTCTTTTCCTTTGGGGGTCACTGGAGAACTTTCTATGCTTTTGCAGCTGGTGGGGCAAAACCGGTCTGGCGTTGCGTTTGTTCATA